CCTTGGGCCTCTCACTTCAAAAAAGACATTGAGGTGCTGGAGTGTGTCCATAGAAGAGCAACAGAGCTGGGGAGCAAAGTTCCCCATCACTGGTTCTCCTTGGCAGTGCAGACCTTTTCTCCTCAGCCTGTCATTTAGGAGGAGGCCAGGTAGAAGGTGCTCTGGGGCAAAAGTAGCTGCTCCATCAGAAAGAATGGCTTCCTTGGATAGAGATATGTGTGCTGGGGAGAGCCAAGAAGCAATAATGAGGGTGCCACAGCCATAAGGACTGAAAGGCAGGAAAGCATCTTGATCTCTGGAGCCCTCCTCAAAACCATTCTGTCTAGTCCCAGCCTCAATCTCTCCAGCTCCTCCCAGCTATGCTTTGTTACCTTTTCCCTTCACAGTAATTCCCCATGCTCTTTGTGATCTGTCTCCCTCTCCAAACTGGCTCCACTGCTGCAACCACATTTTGCTGTTCACAAGTGCAAGGGCAAAACAAGTTACTTGAATTTGTCCACGCTTCCGTGTTTGTTATTGCATCAGAAGGCCCTGATCTTTCCTAGGATATGCTTACAAACTCAGCATAAGTAATAAAAAATAATTGCTGCAGTTGCTTTGTGATCTTGAGTGAATCACCTTGACTGGAAGTCAGGGAGGTCGCTTCAGAATAGGCTACAGTCAGTCTCACTGAGTGGATGCTAATGTGTTGAGGATCTCTGCTAAAACTTGCTGCTATAGTGAAGTAATCTGTAAGCTATTTTACAGCTGAGACTGTCAGGTCTGCTTTTACTCAAGTAAGTGAGAGAAATGCCTGGCCCAGCACAGTGTTTAGAAAAATTTAGGTATGCCAAATGAGTTACACCTGTTAGAGCTGCCCAGCCTACTGCTTGTGGTCTAGTATTTTCAGTGCAGTGAAAATAGCTACAGCCAAGGGTCATTCGGGAAAGCATTGACAAAACTTGGTGGAAAGAGTAGGACAAAACATGTGTTTGCCTTCTGTACCTGCCTGAGACATTTGTCTGGGGTGAGAAAGGTAGGAATGGAGTAATGACAGTCACAGCTCTGGCCAGGGGCTGCTCTCAGCTCCAGATCCACTTAAGGGATAAGGCTGGGTAGAACAAGCCTTAAACTGACAGCTTGGCTAGAGGCACCGGGATGTCTTGTTGCAGCTTTGGTTAGAATTGACACTGGCCAGCACGTCACTTTTAATTCGACCCAGCTCATAATTGAAATGATCTGTTTTGATCAAATGATGAATTTTAGTTTCCAGAGGTCACATTATATCTTCTTTACTTGGGCTGGGTAAAGCTTTGCCCTGGAAGATGCTGCATTGGAGTCAGCAGGCACTTTTCAGATGAGGGGCTTTTCAAAGAAAGTGTGTCTGTGTGAGCCTCTGGTTGTTTGTAGGTGTACCATGAAAGCCTTGAAAATCAACATTATCCAACTGGCTTCCCACCACTCCCTATATAAGCAGGGCAATCTAATTCTTCCTATTCCTTACCAGAGTGCCTTTGGCTGGGCCATAGGTACATGCATCTTGTATGTGCTGCAACCTGGAGAGTTTGCAGGCCCGGAACTATGCCTTTGTCATTCTGCTTTAGGCAACAGGGGCCAAATAGCCTCTTCCCAATAGACCGTGTGCCTCATCCGCTTCTTTTTTACCTCCCTTACCCTTTTTGTTCTGCTTTTACTGGTTTTCCTTCCAGTTCAATGGTTTTTATTAGGCAGGAGCACCAGAAGGTGCTTGAGAACATGCTGGTAAACAAAGCAAGAAAAACATAAACCAGCTGAAACTTCCCCTGTGTGTTGGCAGTACAAACAGCAGAGATCTGGATGGGTGCTAATGCCAATCCCTAATGCATCCTTAACATGCTGCTTTCAGGGCTGGGGGAATGTTGGCAAAGGAAAAAAATAAATTGCTGTTTATAAAAGTCATAGGTAATACCAGGGGAGCATTGTGGTAATCTTTTAATGAGTGATATTAATGTAATAGGCACTGATACTTAATCAGTACCCCTGGTATTAGTCATCTGGCCTTGCTCTGCTCCCCTTGTGCAGGTTCTTTTGAGTGTTTGTTTTCCCTCCTGCTGGTGCTGCTTGACCAAGTGAAGTCAAAAGACTCTATGAGCCAGGCAAAGTGTTTTGTAGGGAGCCTTATTACTCAGGGACCTAGAAGAGGTTGAGGGTGGTGGTAATACTTTGTGCAAACCACACTGTAGGACAGAGTACTCCAAGGATGATCCTCCAACCCGTCCTCCCAGCGCATCACCCTCCATGGAAAAAAACACATTAAATGCATTGCATCACTTGATGGTGTCTTGACATGAAAAGCATTGTGATTTTGAAAGCTTTAGGTGTTTTTGTACACTGTTAACTTGCACTGCTTGGTAAAAAGAAGGAGAAAAAAGACATTACAATGGGTAAGGGGAAAGAGCCTTAAGAAAGTAATGTCCAAAAAAATCTTAAGTGCAGCTTCTGAGAGCTTAAGAGGATTATAAAGATGCGAGAAAAACTGCCTTTTTGCCTGTTGAATGATAGTTGCCCTACTGGTCTGAGCAGTTTAACCTATATTTGAGGTGTTATACAGGGTGCTCCTGCTGTTTGAAGGAATTGTTATGGGTGAAGTGCTGTACCTGACATGGTTAAATCAGGTGTTGGCACAATGGTTGAACAAAAGCAGGTTTCTCTAAATGATAAAGGAGGTAAGAAACAGTAGTTGGTCTCCTTGTTCAGAGTGTGCAGCTCCAGGAATCTCTGTGTTCTGGAAATCATTTGCTTCTTTTCTGAACAAGCATCATACCTCCTTCTCTACACTTTCTGCCTTCAAGTGACTCAACCTGAAATCCAGTGAGTGATTTCTGCTTGTGACTGCAGAAAGTCCCCAGTCCTTGGGGCTGAGAACTGAGTACTGTGGGCCACTGCTCTGAGCAGTCACTTGCAGCAGTGAGTGTTTGGCTGGCCTCTTGAACCCCACATCTCCAAATCTGGAGAAGTATCTTTGGTGGCAAAACAGGAGCCCAAATGCTCCCAAGTGAAAATGTTTCATCACTTGTGGCTGCAGCTTGCTGCTCCCTCCACGTGTGCTTGTGGGTCAGTAAGAATAGCGAGGTTAAAATCTTTCCCCATTCTCAAATAAAAGCTAATTGTTAACCCCGATGAGCTTAGCAAATGGTTTTGAAGTGTTGCCTTTCAACTAGATGTGCCTCCACCACTGAGGAAGTGGCAAACTGAGGCATAAAAGCAGGAATCAGCACACTGATGGGAGTTCTAGGGCATGAGACTCCATATGATAATTATGGCCCCCCGGGCCAGCTTATTGTAAAGACAATTATCCCAGTGAAAGTGAACTGAGGTGAGGAGGAAGCCTGGACTCCAGGGAGAGCCATTGATACCACTGGAAGAAGTTGTGATTGTGTGCAGAGAAAGCCCCACTGACATCTTGCTCCTGCATGAACTTTTTCCTGAGCTGAGTCTTGCATTGTGGATAATGGCAAACACTTCTCTGTGGCTTTTATTTTGATCCATGTTCTTCTGTGATGTCTTTTTTTCTAAAGCACGTGAAAGAGGTTGCCAGGTAAAATTAATTTTTATTTTCAGGACATCATTAGGTAGTGCTTTTCCCCTTGGAACATTTACTGTCAGAAGAATAAAGGGAAGAGTTAAGAAGAGTAATTGTTGTTTCATCAGATTATGTATTAGTTCAAAAAGGCTAATGCACTGTAATATCTAGACAAGCCCTATAATTGGAGAGAGTTTGAAACAGGCTTTTAGCCATTCATGTGCTCCTGCTCTAGGAGCACATCTAAGCCATTAAGCATAGGAAAAAAAAAAACAAAACAAACCTAAACCAAAACAACCAATCAATAAAAAACAGACTTTTATGCATTAAAGACATCTTGAAAATTAGGTTGTTTACAGAGGCAGGAGTACATGTGTTCTTTTTCAAAAACTTGGGACTGGTTTTGACTCATTTTACACAATGTGTGCTGGGTTTGAGAAGGCCAAGTCAGTGATATGTCTTGCAGAACTGCCTTTTTACTGCATTTGCAAATCATTCTAACAATAGTCTGAATTACTTATGTTCCAGTCTATTCTATATGCGCCCAACATGAAAGAGCAAGCTTTCACTTGGGGGTCTGTAATAAGGGTCAGTGCTTTCTGAGTCATGTTAGGACAGAAAATGGAGCTCTGATTATGATTCTTTGAATTCTTCCTTGCCTCTGACCAGCACAGTTTAAATGCTCAGGTGGCCTAGAAAGAGAATGGAGAGGGTGGATCAAATCTGCCCACTCTGTAGCCCTCTCTAGTTGTTTAGCCCATACCTGTGTATGAAAGAGGATCCTGCTTTCCTTCCTTGCCTGCTGTTCTTTAGGATGATTCACACCATAGAAGGCACCATAAAGAAAATTAACTCTATCTCAGACAAAACCAGCACAAATCCCTGTGGGTACATCTCTGCAGCTACAATCCCTCATGCAGGGAAACATTTAGCTTTTTTTTACTAATGGGATCTTTCTAGGAATGTAAGAATGTGAATGAACAAGTTGTGACACAGGTAATCTGCTGCCTGCTGGCTCTGATCTCACGTTGGTTTTCTATATTAATGGAAAGTTGGCACAACATCCCCTTAGTTGTGAGGGGGATTAATTTCTGGTGATCAGCTTATGTTCTGAGGTACAGCAACTGGGTGCTTCTGGAACTTGTACAGATGTGTTAACCTAAGTGTCCAAGAGATTTTCATCTGATGTCTGGTTTTGCACCTTGTACTGCTTCCCCAACTTAACAGAGTTTCAAAATACGCTACTTCTTCTGTAACAGCACTGTGTATATGTGTGTGTGCACAGTGTGAATACTTTGCCAGCTACTTTGAGGTTATCCGCCTGTAACCATCATGTCATTAAATGTCCCTACAGAGAAAATATCAAAGTTTGTCCATGTTCACTGATGCAGAATCATTTTTAATTCAGTCTGACTTAATTATTTTGATACGCTTCATTTTTGTCTCCATGTTCCTTCAGGCTTCCGACTTGATTATCACGCCAGCTACAACTTTCAAGCAAAAACCAGATCCCAGTGGTTTGGTATTTGGAACTGTGTTCACTGATAATATGCTGACAATTGAATGGTCCTTGGCTTCAGGATGGGAGAAACCCTATATTAAGCCACTGGAGAACCTTTCATTACATCCAGCCTCCTCATCTCTGCATTATGCTATAGAAGTAAGTAGTGAATTGATTTGGAAACCATTTTTTTGTTTTATTAGCTCTTGAAGCCACAGCTTTGTAACACGAGGACTATTACTGCCTTAAGTTTATTAGTATTGAGTTATGTTTTGTTTTGTTCACTGATGTTCTTCCAGAATAATTGCATTATTTACAACAGGGTTATGTTTTTGTTAGTACAACCCAGAAGCAGCTCTGGCCTGTGGATTCTAGCTCACTTAACATTCTGACGTAGTGAAGATGAGCCCTTTCCTGTGTGGTGACAAATTCATTTGAGAAAGCATTCTGTTTTACTGACAGTGGATGGGTCCAGTTACTCTCTCTGATGTAACTTAATGCAGCGCTGGATAAGACCATGAGAAATTCCAAGAGCAGTTTTAGTTTGGGGACTGAACCTGCACCTTGTGAAAGTTATTTTAAGCTGGTTTAAAGGTTGATAGGTTGGATTGCAGGACAGACTAGAGAGGTGCTTGTTTGAAACTCCGAAAAAGTCTGGAGAGCTCAGAACTGGATCTGATGCATTCAGAACATGTGGGTGCATTTAAGCAGAGAGTGTACAACAAGAAACTTTGGGAAGTGAAATGTTAAGTCGGAAGCCAGCGTGGTTAACAGTTTCCGTGCTTAGCTGCTTTCTGTCTAAAGCTGCCCTTTGTGTCTCCAAAGCAGCTTTGGCTGTACTCACACCTGTGTGGGAGCCTTGGTAGAGCACATATCCTGAAATGGAAACCCACTTCTCCACCCACTTCTCCTCCCACTTCTGGCTAGGTGGGAGTGTCTCCACTGAAGTGTGTGGAGTTGCTTGTGCTTCTTTCATTATTTCTTTTTTTATTTATTATTATTATTTTATTTTTTTATTTTAGCCTCCGGTATAAGGGAAAGATCAAGCTTTTCCCTGCTTGTTGTCCCTGAGCTCCTGCCTTCACTGTTTTTTTTGTGTTTACTGACTTTTTCCCCATCTAGTCACCAAGCCTTCAAAGGTCCTGTGTAAATTTAAACAGGCCCCTGTGACTAAGGCTGCAGCTCTTGATCTGCCCAAGAAGTAAGAAACCACGCTGGAGTCCCAAATCTATATTTCACTCTTAGTACCATATTGCTTTAATGCTTGGCCTCTGGCCCAGTCTAAAATCATTGCTAATATGAATATGCTCTTATTTTTTTCCATTTTTTTTTTTATTCTTTTATCCTTATTGCATCACGTTTCCTCTAGCCAAGAGGACAGACAGAGGAGAATCTGGTGTCATTGCTGTGGCTCAATGAATACACAGTGGGTATAATAAAAGTGATGAATTTGGCATTCCCTCCCCTTCCTCCTTGCCTTCCATGATGCAGTGTGATAATCTGGATCTGCTGAACTCCAGATCCAGCTCCCATGATGTACAGATGTCAGATAATATTGTTTTCACACCATTGTAGCAACCAACCATCAACCAACCACAACAATTGCTTTTATTCAAGTTAAGCATTTCTGGAACACATTACTATCTTCCCTTTTAATGAGTGAAAGGTTTTACCGAGCTCTGGAAGGTTAAAAGTATTTATTTTTGGAGAAAAATATTTAACATCTTGTGAAGGCTTTGTGTTTCAGTAATGATGTGATTCTTGCTTCTCTCAAACCATCAATCAGATCTTAGTAGTGGCATTCCTCCCTTTTCCCTCTCATTAAAAGTTCTGTGAATGTGTTTGGGAGAAGGGTGGGTGGGGTGGATAAAAGCAATACGAAAGTAGCATTCCAAAAATGTGGCATTAGTTAGTAACTGGCCCGATAAAAATTGTATCCAAGTATCATCCATATCACCAGCTATACCATCCTTTATTAAAGATATGATTTTTTTTCTTGTAGCTACAGTGTTTACCCTGGGAACAATTTCTTTTTCAAAACTACCTGTAAAGCTTTTAATAAAGCTGGCATTTCCATAGGAATAAGTTAAATTTTGGAGGTAAAAAGTTCTGGGGTTTAATTCTGGTTCTGCTACTTAGTTGGCACATAGCCTGAGGAAAATTGTCGGGATTCCTGCAACCCAGTTACAACCCAATTAAAATTTGTCATGTGGAAGGACCTAGCTCTGCCATGAGACTGCACGAAAGCTTTCTAAACACTGCGTTTCACTGACCCTTGAGGGAAGATATTACAGAATTTAATAATAATGAAACCTGGAGTATTCTACTACATTACTTGTACACAAACACAGGATTTTTTTTTTCCAAATAAAAAAGCTGCATGTGTACACTTCCAGCCACATGGGATGTAGTTCCAGCCACTTGTTGTACAACAGACAGAGGAGGAGAAGCCTGAGGAGACTGACAGCTGTTAAATTCATAGAACTTCAACTGAAATTCACATTTAAAGAAATGTTTTAGAAAATAAATTCTAAAAGTCTGAAGTCTTATCTATAAGCATAAGTGGCCTTTTAATACTTAATCTAAATAATACCTGTATATATATGTATATATTAGTGTGAGCTTATATCATACATGAGGGCTTTGTCTATAAGTATAACCAGAAATTATCGATCTGTAAAAATAACTATGGGTATTTATTTATCTGAAAATAACTATGGGTATTTTGTGGGCAAAAACTTTTGCTGGGATTAGGAGGTGCTGTAGGGCATTCTGCTGGGAGGGCATCGATTGTATAGGGGTTTCTGGTAAAATGGTGGTCAACACCAGTCATGTGGATTCTGCAGTCAGATAGGATAATTATGTTGAATTTACGTTTCCTGTAAAGTATATAAAGAAAACATTTTCATGCATTTTTCCTCTAGTGTAAGGCTGATGCATCCATCTCTCATGCAGGCTAAGCCCCCTTCCACAGCATCGGGATATATGGGGAAATAAGTGGCTAAGATCCTGCTACAATTACAGCAAGAACTTTTAACAGAATTCTCTTAGTTACCTTATCTTACACTTCCTACCGAAAATGTGTTTCAGACAGAGACCTAAAAACTATTAACATAAAATTCCCCTTTATGTAAGGGAGAATTCTGCTTTGGCTCTGTCGTAGGTATCAGTCAGGATGTAAGGGAGTTAAGTCAAACACATGTTACAAATTTTAATTGCTGTAACCAAACTATGGGGAAAAAAAAAAAGAGGTTATCATTAAGTTCCCTGACAGAGAAAGGCACACCTGAATTATAGAAAGGTCATCTTCATAATACAGATTTCATAATCCTATCTCACATGAGTGTATTGCCAGGATTCACTAGTTAGCATTTAGGTTTGAGTACTGTGAGCAGGACAAGTTAAGTTCTTTTATTTTCAGAGGGTGTTCTCTGCATTTGCACAGATCCCTGTGGGATGACAAGTCTCAATCACTATTTGGTTTCTTTTCTCTCTTTTTTCTGGTTTGGTAGTTGTTTGAAGGAATGAAGGCTTACCGAGGAGTGGATGGCAAAATCCGCCTGTTCCGGCCAACTCTCAACATGGACAGGATGGCACGGTCAGCAAGGAGGACAACTCTGCCAGTATGTAGCCAAGGCATCTTGCTCTCCATAAGTCAGAGCATATTTCCATTTTCAGAGTGCAAACCTCTGAAACTTTTCAGTAGTGTACTATTTATCAAACGCTCTATCTCTTCCATAGTCCAGTTAAACTTTGTTAACAGATCTTATTCAATGAAAGAAACTGTTTGACACGCTTTTTTTTAAAAAATCAATACAATGTTTTGCTTGCTTTGTTGTTTCCCTACCGTTTCAGATGTACAGTCTGCTTCTGAGGAATGGTGCAGGTATTTGCATGCAGACAGCTGATTAATCTGTTACAGTGTTAATGTTTTCCTTTTCTTCTTTCCACTCCAGTTAAGTGATTGAGCATTTGACTGCCTTCATTTTTGATCATGCCAGCAACTTAATACTGCTTTTAGCAGTTGTATCTTGGTCAGTGAATTTCCTCCTCGGCTTATTAGCTGTAAGATCTTGGGAACTTTGTAACAAACTGGGAGACTTGCTGGCCCCCTGGGGTTGTAACCCAAAGCACTCTTCGGCAGTGAAGTGAAGGTGTTGGCTGCACAGAGGTTTCTGTCCATGTGCTTTGGAGGCAAGAAGGGTCAATGGCTCCTTTTTAGTATCCCATGATGATACTTTGGACCAGAGGAGGACATGCAGGGTGCTATACAAAAATGCACAATGGCCAAGACCATGGTATCTTTAATTCTGTAAAGAATGAACTAAAGCAAGATGATGTATGTAGGTCCTATGAACCTCTGTGGGCTGTCACTGTTACATTAATTGATGAAGTGTTCCTTACAGCATCTGGATCTGTAAAGGCCATAGAATGTTCTGGCTATATTTCTCCATTTGCTTTTCTCCATTTGCTTTTCCTTCCCAGTCTTTTGACCAGAATGAGCTGTTAGAGTGCATCCTGAAGCTTGTGGAAGTGGAAAAGGAGTGGGTCCCATACTCAACCGCTGCCAGCCTGTACATCCGTCCTACCTTAATTGGAACTGAGGTGTGAAACGCTTTCTTCTCCCTCTTAACCTTTGTGTATTTAGGTATGAGAGAAAAGCCTCCATCCATAAAGGGAAGCATGCAGCAGTGAGTAGATGACAGGATTACAGTTCCGGGGCAGATTGGTTTTGTGTTTTTACTTTTGAGTTCCTCACCTGTAGCGCTACTGCATAAATTTAATGTTGACCACACTGCCACTTAGTGGGCACATCGGTTCAGAGCACAGAAAGTAAACTTGGATTAACTCCTCAGCGTGGGAACAGAAGAATTTACATTAACTTAGGGTTTGCACTGAAAGGATAGTTATTTGTGGTATGCTAATGTTTGCCTTTAAAAATCTAACAATCTGAAGAAAGCATGAGGGAACAGAAATTTGCTGTGTGCATTTTGTGAATTAAACCCATACCGCCATCCTGACCTTAGTGAGGTGATTTCAGAAGATTCTACCCAGTAAATTAAGATGGCTCTTCTGAGAGACACTTTTAACAGAACTGAGAACAAATTCTCATGTCAATTTGTTAGTGAACCCAGACAAACCTGGCCTTATAAGAGCTCCTTTGCTATATGGTATTACCCATGTGTACTCTCTGAGTTTCACATGGGTGTGAGTCAAACCTATCATGTTGATAAAGGGAATTAGAAACAGAGAGTTTATTTTAATGAAAACTTTGAGGGTGTTTGTTTGGTTTTTTTGTTGTTTTTTTTTTTTTTTTTAGCAGTAGGAAGAGAGAAACTTATCATGGTAGAGTGTAGGACAAGGCAGCTGAAGAACATAGGGTTCCAAACTAGGCAAGTTACTCTTTAGCAATATCCACGACTGTAAGTAGTTACCACACATTGCACGTTTCACGTGTGTTCTAGGATTCCATTAATTTAATACTTGTGAACTAGTTGCAGATTTTCAGATGGAAGGATCTCCATGCAGTGACTGTAAAGCACTGATATTAAACATTGAATTTCTCTCCCTTTTCTTGGAAATTCTTTCTCTGATGGGTTTTGTTTCAGGTTAGCCAACACATCTGGCCTTTCCACTATGTCGTATGTTGTTTCCAGATTTCATGTCCTACTAAGCTTTTATGAGTCAACACAATTAGAAACCAGGCAGCACAATCTTTGTAAAAGTCAGGAAAAGTATTGAGATCATGTAAAAGTCAGGAAAAGTATTGAGTTAATCAGTTAATCTTGTTAGAAGTCTTTCTGAAGGAGTAAGGTAGACAGAAATCAAAACAACCCTTTCAGTACCTGGGGAAGGCTTATTTGAATTTTCCAGTCATTCCAGTATTACAGTATTATTTTCCCTTCTACCTCCCAGTTTAGCTTCATGTGCTTTGTTTAGCTTTGGTCCTAAAGATTTAAGTTTAGTAACTTTTTCTCAGTGGAAACCAAGGATGAGCTTGTTCTTTTTACAAAACTGATTTCTGTGAGCGGAGAGAAAATAGTAACCCATTCAGTTGTACAGAAGATCCCAAGAATCATGGGCAACCAGCTCTATGTAGTCCTGCTTGAGCAGGAGGGTTGGACAAAATTACCTCCAGAGGTGCCTTCCAACATAATAATTTTGTGATTCTGTTGTCAGTCCCAAGCTTTACAGAATCATGAAGGTAAGCAGTCTCCTACCAGAGGCTTCAGACTTTATCCAGTACCAAACTTCACCTCCACCTTCAAGTACTGATGGTGATGACCTGCAGTATGAGAAGCCCCCCAGAGAGAAGGGGGAAAAAAAATCTGATACATTCCAGGTTATTTCCTGTGCTGTTGCGTGAACTATTTCCAGCAGGCAAATAATTTTAGTTGTCACACAGTCACTCACAATGCCAGCACTCGACTCTACCAATGCCAGTTCTAAGTGGCACTGGCTAATTCTCCTCACTAATGCAGCTGACAGTGGTTTCTCCACTGTTGTTATTGCTAGCAGTGGTTCTTGCCACTCCTTCCCCTAGAAGGCTTTGAAGGCTTCTGCTATGATTAATTCATGTAATTATATAGTACCTTGTTAAGCTAAATTCTGAATTCTCAAAAGGTTGGAACTCTTTGAGAAGGTTAGAATAATATACAGGTAAATGGAATGCTTTAAGTGAATGGTGACAGTCTATAAAATTAGGGTTGTTATGTTGCTTGGATGGGGGGAAGTTACATAAATATTTTCTCTTCATTGCAGCACTTTGCATTGTCCTGATAAAAGCTCTCATGCTGCAGTTCCACTGAAAGCAGTGTTTCAAAAGCACCTGATGTTTGGAGCATGCCACTGACTTTTGATTTGTTTACATTCCTTATTTTCAGCCTTCCCTTGGAGTGAAGAAGCCGACTAAAGCCCTCCTGTATGTCATACTGAGCCCTGTAGGCTCTTACTTTGCAGGTGGAAGCTTCAATCCAATATCCTTATGGGCGGATCCAAAATACGTAAGAGCCTGGAAAGGAGGAACAGGGGACTGCAAAATGGGAGGGTAAGAAAACATTGTTCTGCATTTCTCTACATAGCTCACAAAGCAGATTTGGGTTTTAGTGAAGTACCTAATCCAGCAGATGTAGAGACATTAAATGCAGTAGTTAAACAAACAATGTGCTACAACAAAGATTTCAAAATCGTACTTCACAAATATTATTTATACAATGCAGTTGCATGTTTTTGTTTGAATATTACTGCCAAGTTGATTTTTTTGCAGCACCTCAACCTAGGGAACTGGAGCTGGAAGGTGTCCATGTAATACTTTCGCTCTTCCCCTTGGTGCAGTTAACACTGAAGACATCAGTTTTGTGAAGCATCTTTCAGTACGGCATCCTGCTGCCAACTGGGCAGGGAGCAGCACTGGCTGCTGACCTCCTTCCTTGGCAGGCTGTCCCAACAAGCCACCTGCAGTTAGCAGAGGGAGTTTGGGGGTTTAAGGGAAAGAAGAGCCAATGGTCTGCGTTGACTTTAGCCTGGCAGTTTTCTGCTGAACTAGGCCTAAGCGCAGGTATTATTCAGTCGGATTTGCTCTGCAGGCAGCATTTTAGGAAAACATTTGCTCCTCAAGGATATGGAATTCATCAAGGTCCATTTGGAGCTCCTGAAGCTACTTGTTCTGTGAATGTCTTTTATTAGAAAAGAAATAACTGGCCTCTGTTGATATTTGTGCAGCAACAGATTCATCTGACATATATTACTCATCTGTTAATCTGAGATATATGAGATGAGGTAGATGATTTTTTTTCTTGGTTTTTTGTTTGGTTTTTTTTTTTAAGATATGAACTAGAGAGTAATTGTTGTTCTCTCTCCAGGATGCCAACTGCTAAATAAAGATAAATGCTTTCCTATGGTGTTTAATTGCAGTAATTAGAATGTCCAGAATATGGAACAAGAGGTATCCATTTTGGATGGATATCTTTGAGCTGTTGATGCTGTTCAGCCCTGCAAAGTTTTGGGGTTGTAGATACAAATGATCTAGTAAAATACTGGTAGAGTACTTCCAAAGAAAATGTCCCAGGGACAAGCAGTGACTGTGCAGTGTACTTGCTCATAAGGTAGATGTGCACAAAATCTTGCTTAAAAATGAGAAGATAGCCAATTAGATAGTCATAACTCTTTGCTCTTTCTTTTTGTTTCTGAAGGAATTATGGTTCTGCTATTTATGCCCAGCAAGAAGCCCTGGAGTTTGGCTGCCAGCAGGTTTTGTGGCTCTATGGAGAAGATCACCAAATAACTGAAGTTGGAACAATGAATCTGTTTCTCTACTGGATCAATGAGGATGGAGGTACAGTAACATAAAGCATGAAAACTTTAACAGAGTAGGCAGTTGGGACCATAATCCACGAAATGATTATTAGAATGCAGATCATAAACTGTTAAATTAAGATGATTTAACAAAAGAAGTCATTATTCTCTTCTGAAAACTAATAGGTGACTGTTAATTATATCACTGGGAAAGAGGAGATTCTGGAGCAGGTGTGAGTGCTGCCTGCTAATAACATACTCAACTGCAGGGCCAGTCCATGTGCTCAGAAGGGCAGAGTCTACCCATGCAGAAGGTCACACATCAGGCTTATTCTCTGGCCCAGCTTGATCTCTGAGGAGGTGTTGGCTTAGAAACAGCGCAGAGGTGCTAAAAGACAACTTGTGGCTGTGCATCTCTTCAAATTCTGTGGTTTTGAGCATGAGTGACTCCCATGTCACTTTTTGGCAAGTCAAATGTTCCCAAAGCATAGCCAGAAGTATTTCAGCATCCAGTTGATGAAGAAATGCTCTTTCTTCAAAGAATTTGAAGTTCTGTCCAGTGATGACAGAGAGAAACATGTCAGTAAATGTTCCAGATCACTAATGCTCAAATGATGCTTTCAAGACATACCATCATTCTTGAAGCTATTTTTACCTCTGAGCAATGTACATGCTGATTAGAAAACTAGTTAATAAGCTGCCAACTATTTAACATCTCGAAAACACCCATTGTGTATGCATATATTCAGAGCTTGAAAGGTGATAGCTGCACCTGATAACTAGTTTGGAAGACTATATGACTCTTCAAAGGACTGAGCCAATGTTCAGGCAAGTGAATAAAAGGATACCTCCTGACTTCCATGGATGCTGACCCTCCATGAATACGTTATTGAGTTTTTGCACGATGCAGCAGATGCAGGATTCAAACTCAGATTTCATTGTAGTGCCACGGGTACCCTTGAAAATTACCATTTTTCTGTGAGTGTTCAGTTGCAGAGCACAGAGGCAACATTCTGTGGGGACAGCAGTGTGCTTTGGATAGTGTAGGATAATAGGGATTCAGCTACCTGACTCCCAGCTCTGGTCTCATTGTTTGTCCTGCAAAATCTTTACCACTTTTTTTAAAAGGGGGATGATACTCCCTCAGTGTTGAATGAGTCCATGAAGTTTTGTGAATGAAACAGTAAATACTAGAAATTTTCTTGTCGTTATAGCAGCAGTAGATTTGTCAGTGTAGCTAGATGGCCAAATTTATGCCTTGTGCAACTTTGCTGGAGAGACATGAAAATAGATTTTGGCTTGTTCTGCCCAGGGAAAGGACACTGAAGCGGGGACATAATTAGAATTCAATGTTCTCATTGTGCTTAAACCAGGAATATGCTGGAATTATCCAGCTGCAGCACCGTACTGTTCCAAAGATCTGCCAATCACTGTGTTACCAGTGCACTAGTGAATGGTACTATTGTGAGGTGGCCGTAGCAAACAACTTGTAATTCATGCCACCCAAGCAGGCTGTGTGCTGGCAAACCTGCCCTCTCACAGGACAAGGCAGTATCCTCACTGGAGCACTTCCCTGTCCCCCGGTGTGTTGGGTAATGCTTAATTTAGGGGATCTTGGGCTGAGAATTGCTCCTGCTGCCAATGTGTGTCATCACATGCCTTACCTTTGGCTTTGCATCGGGGTTTAGAAAGCGCTTCTCGTTGTGTTCTGTCACTTCAGGAAGGACACTTACTTAGGCTGTGGTTTGGTTTTGTTATGCAAATGCTGCAGCTGAGAGAGAGATCAAACTGAGAGAGGCAAAAATTGCAGATCATCATGGAGAGGAAAATGCCTTTCTTTGTTCTGAGGTCACTGCTGAGTAGCCAGAACTGCTCTCCTTGGTTTATAACAAATGACAGACCCATCCCGGTAAAGCCTAGACCGGAGGACATCCATGCTTCCCATGGGAGTAGGCTTTTCTTGCAAGCCTTTGCTGTATATTTTCAGTTACAGCATTGTGACTAAACATGACCTGTTATCCTGGATGGCGAGAGGAGCCTGAAAAAACGTTTTATTTGTAACATCAAGGAGGGAGTAGAGAGGAATCCACTCAGTTTTTGGTAAAATAACATGACATGCTCTATGCAGTTCTTGCATTCCCACTGCTGCTCTGGCAGAGGCTTAGAATATGACCATACCTGGATATCTGCTGTTGCATAAATACAGGAGTATTTATTCATTTCATTCATCAAATCCTATTTACAGTTTATGTTCACTAAGTGAAAAATCTGTTTGCCCTACAGTCCCTTCCACCTACCTCTTCATAGCACGTAACTGTCCCAAGAAACTGTTGACACTGAAACTGAAACTCATTTCCTGCAACAATGTCAGTTCTTCTGCCTAAAATATAGGCTTGGCTTTATGGAACACCTCAAAATTTAAGTGTATGTCCAACATGAAGATGGCTAGCTATGAAATCTGTGTCCACTTTTGAAAAATTTAGTTTCTCCAGGTGATTTGGAACCATTTGTGCTCCACTTCTAGCTTTAATGTAAATACATTGTTAATTGCTTTCAGGCATTGCTTAATACTTTAGTGCTGCTATTAAAATGGTGATTAATAGTACCCACTTCAAAATTTCGTAAATTAAAAAATAGATGTGTGAAAAGATTCTCTGAAAGAGGTAAAATTTAATGTAAGTTTGCTTAGTGTTCTGTAGTCGGAAGGTTATTTGTGCTGCAGAAGTATCTTGTACAAGTAGACTACAAAGAAAATAAAGATTGTATCATCTGCTCTAGTAGAAAGCCATAGCAATGGCAGGAGGGAAGAGTAGCAAATTAATGAGATGGCAGACAAAGGAAAGGAGGAGAAAGTAATCTAGGAAAGCAAATTGACAGAGACACAAAGACAGAGTGACTGCATGAGAGAAGAGTAGAAGAAAAGCCTGATGGGAAATAAGAAGAAAGAAAGGTCCAGAACAAACTGGGAGAGGAAGTCACCTGTTAATAATAGTGAAAAAAGGTTTTTCTGGGTTTTTCTTGACCTTGAAGTTCACTTGGAATTTATCCTTTTGGTAAAATACGTGAATTTCTCAGTGTAGTTGTACTGTGACTAGTATTGAAGGCATCTCATGTTTGCAGTCTTGTCTGCTATATGTTCATAAATACAGTTGTGTAAAAAAAATTGAAGGTGTATAATATGCAAGACCTCATTTAAAAAATCCCCTTTAACACACTCTGACAGAATTCTATTGTTATAGCAAGCCCATACTGTGCCTGGTTTAATGGGGCACTGGGCTGATGGTGCTACTGCTGCAACAATGTAACAATAGCAGGAGAAGAGAAACCCTGACATTTTCCTTCAAATACCTTTCCTCCCCCCTTTCTGTGACTATACATTTTAAGGCTCCCAGTCCGTCAAAATAACTCAGAAGGCAAATGGAGTCTGTGAGCTCACAGTCTGGTTTCTGGGAGATGGACAAACTGATGTCATATGGAGCCTGGTTTGGCATTAATTCACAGAGAGGATGAGCTTTTGGCATGCCATGTTGGATAATGTTATCGTCTCTGCCGGGTACCAGGGGAGCAGATGTTCCCCGGGTGGTCCCAGGCTGGTATTTATCATATGTACACTTGACAAAATTTTACAGAGCAGGCTGTTTGAAACATTTTGAGACTTCCATGTCCTGTCTGCTCAGTGCTGTTTGGTGGCTGGTTTGGCCTGGCACCCTTTCAGACTAGCTCAAATTAATTAATATATGTTATTGAGCTTAAACAGGTCCTGGACAAGATCTGTGGCAACATCACCAAATAGAGAAGAGTAGTGACAATCTTTGGTATCAAAGTCCACAGTATTTGAAGTTTTCTGTTAAAGAAAGGAGTGCATTTGTATGTGACTGTGCCACAAACGCAGGACATCAGGTTTTCCATGTTCAGAATCAAGTGAACCCTGTGGCTCATGGAAAGTTTTAAAGTCCTCTTCTTTTGAGAGTTGTGCCAGAATTAGGGCCAGACATGCATCATAATTAGGAGTGATGCTGTGCAGGCTTTAAAGAAAGGAAAGCTGCTATTCTTGACTGTATGAGAAAGAAGAGATCACTGCTGTGCTTAGGAGTCTGGATAGGTTAGGGAATGGCACTATGGGTTAGTCAAACCAGAGCAGAACATACAGCCTGTCCTAGGGCAGCTTTTCTATACATTTTGGCATGGCAGTTCACGTCTATCACTTGTGTGTGTATGGATTCTCATAAAAGGAACAGGGAAGCATAGACAAGAAAAATTTCCAGTCCAAATGAATAAATCCAGGGCTGGCTGCATTAAAAAGTAATGGCTATTTCCTGACAAAATGGAAAGTTGAGTAGTGGATTCAATGACCAATTCCATTTAATTAACCTCCATTTCCCTATCCCACCCCAGCCCCAATGCCCACTCTCACACAGTGGGGAGAGCCCATGCTGTAGTCAGTCTGGAGCTGTGTGTGCTCTGGCTGACAGGCAGTGTTTGTACATGAAATTATCTGCCTGAGTGCTGAAAACAGAGTATTGAGCAGCTGAGCTCAACCTGGCTCCCACAGTCCAAGGACGAACACCGTGTTTTTCTCATCTACCCAGCTGCAACTTTTCACAGGACTTTTACAAATATTTTAAAGACAGCTTCTCCTTTGAGAGTGGTTCAAAAAGGCCTGGATTCATTGATCTTCTTGTGGTCCAGGGAGATGGGGACATAATAAAATCATGAAGATACATATCTTTTCCTTTTATGTGACCTAGGTAAAAAATAAGCAAAAAGCTTAATGGTTTGTGGATTTTATGAGAAGGGTAGGTTCCTTATAAGATCAAGAAAGAAAGTGAATTATCATTGGGGAAAGAAAATGGTTAGAAAAAAATATGAATAGTATTACTGAAAGACTGTGGATGTCTTGATTTCTCAGGGCAAACTTGAGACTGTCCTAAAAGTCTCTGTCTGAAAAAGAGTGAATGATCAGTGTTCTCTGATAATAGAAACCAGCAAATATTTTAAATGTTTATATTCCTTTCAAATGTTGAAATGTTAAACTCTGTTTACAATGAAAGAGATAGTTTAAAATGAAAAAGAGTAACTATAATTTGCTGCAAAGATCAGATGGAAGAACAAAGTCTACCTACAAACTTGTGTTGTAGCTCAAGTTTTTAGCAAGTATGAATTATTTACCAAGTGTGGATTACCATTTATCTGCCATCTAACATAACATTAGTTATGTTAGATGAATATTTACCTAATGTTGTTTTTCAAAAGGAAACAAGAAGCACAAGCTAAAAACCCAAACTAGTTGAAGAACTTGAATCGTTCTTCTTGTTGGAATTTTCTTAGGACTGCTCTAATTTGTAAAGAGAGAATTAGGAGGGGAAAAATGATGTCTAACCTACTGCAAAAGATCATTAAGGAAGTCTCTCAAAGAGGCTTGGCAAGGTTTACAGTGCTTTACTGATTCAGTAGATGGATTTCAAAATTTTTGGTAAATGTTTCATGTTACTGCCATGAAGTAGGTATACTAAATCCCATGTTCCTAAATTAAATAAAGCAGTTCAGGGAAAGTCATGATCTGCCCTGGGATTATTAGATGTGGCTTTCCCTCTACTTCTCTCTTCAGAATTTGAAGACTGAACCATTAGATGGTTTCCAATAGTTATACAGTGAACCCATAAGGCACTAAGGAATAAAACCTGCTGCTAGGCATTAGCCATGTATATATTGATGTATGAAATCTGTTTTTCCCCACCCACTGAAGTGTACTCAAAAGGTTCCAAACACTGAACAACTGTTTATTTGAATGGATTTTCTGTAATTTGTCTTCTTACTGAACTCTGGTATAAACTGCATCTTACTGGGTACCACAGAATTATGGAATATGCTGAATTTAAAGGGACCCACATGTTTGGTGTAGTATCAGTAAACATGCTTTTCTGTCACTTTGGTTGTTTTTTAAACTAGTGTTTCTATTTCTTCTGTGTTCAACAGAAAATGAACTGGCAACCCCGCCTTTAGATGGCATCATCCTTCCAGGAGTGACAAGGCAAAGCATTTTGGATCTGGCACGCAGTTGGGTGAGTGTTTTGGCCTTGGCAGTGATAGTTTCAAATAACCATGTTATAATGTCAACAGAAACAAACATTTCTGGGGCTCAGTACCTTAAAGTTCAAGTGATCTGGTTAAATCATGGAATCATAGAATAATCTGGGTTCATAGAATCACAGAATGACCTGGGTTGAAAGAGACCTTAGAAGATCATCTTGTTCCACCTTCTTGCCGTGGGCAGGGACACCTTCCACTGGACCAGGTTGCTCAGAGCCCCACCCAACCCAGCCTTGGAAAGGACATTTAAAGGCATCTATTCCAACCTCCCTGCAATGAGTAGTGACATCTTCAACCAGATCAAATGGCTCAGAGTGATATCCAACCTGTCTGAAAATCTACTTCCAAGGTCCCTCTGGATGACATCCCTTCCCTCCGGTGTCACAACCGCGCCACAAAGCCTGGTGTTGCTGTCAAACTTGCTGAGGGTGCACTCAGTCCCTTAATCTAAATGGGAACTAAGGGCATGCAAATTCATAGAATACTCAGAACAACATCAGGATACCCACACCTGTCACACAGAACAATACCAATCTTGTTAAAGTAGCTGCGTGTAGTATTTAACATGAAAATTCTCATTAAATCCACCGGTACCAGCAACTTAAAGCAAGGAAACAAAGAATTACCATGCATGACCATAGCTATACTTCAGTCATCAGCACACTATTTCTCCACTTAGTTCTCATGCTTCCAGCCTTGTTTCCACTAACTAGCATGCAGCCTAGCTAGCCACAGCCTTGAAGTCATCTGTCTGCTTCCAGTTCCTGTTCTGTACTGTAGCCATCCAAGAACTTATTTGGACACTTGGGACTACCTCATATCTTGAAATGCAGCAATCTGTTCACTCTGCCTCTACAGTATTCAAAGCTTTTACTGTGTCTTGGGTAAAAATAAGGGCTCATCAAGCCCAGTATCCTGTCTCCTGATTTTGGCCAGGCTTATGTTTAGGGTGGAACAGCAGGAATAACGCAGGCATGTGTGATACTTTCTCCCCAGTATTAACTCAGCTTCCAACCACGTGTATCTGAAAGACTTCCAGAAATAGAGTTCACAGTTATACCACTTAAACCTAACTTGCACTGAGGAGTGCTGGGCATATATTTCATGGTGCATGTGTGCCTCTGATGAGCTGCCCTGAATTTTTATGTATCTTTATTTGTATTGGTACTCCCCAAGTGCAGACATGCATGCACACTTGTCAGTCCCACCTCCCTTACAAGACAGACTGACATTTCTAGTTGATAGGGCTTTTTTTGTGAGATGCCAGATTCTCACCTTAGTCCACTTAAATAATCTACTCTCACAAAGGCTGTTCTCTTCTTCCTGACATCCACTGCCTAACCTGTTTGAAACTCTGCTTACATGGTGTCCCTCCCTCTCTCTCTCCAAATACTGTCCTGTCCAGAGCTAATCATATCTTCTGCCATCATAAGCATCTCTGTTTCATGTTAAAAAGCTTGCATATAAAAAAAGGGCTAAGCTTTAGTTTGGTCTGATAGGACAATAATGTCCCTATAAACCCACAAAATAAAAATTTCGAATTTTGATGTTTATTTTTTTTCTTTTAAACATATCCCCTCAATCAGTTGCAATGCATTCTTCAACACTTGTAGGAGGTAAAACACTTCCAGTGTTAAGACTGTTCAATGTGAATTGCTTTACTCATGCCTGCAGTACAGTTAATTTTTGTATGTGATAACTCTGTGCAGGCTACAGTGTGAAATTTCACTAGGGATTAAAAAAATATATCACATCTAGATGGCCTTGCAGGTGGAATTAACAGAATGTATTTTGCTTGGGAATCAGTGATTCTGAGAGTGGGATGCAAAGGCTCTCTTGATATAATTAATTTTTGTACAAGCTCAAGCGTGTTAGAGACCATGAGTAGTGAGATCCTGTGTCACGTAACAAATGAAAAATTCTTTGATGTTACTCCCTAGTGTGATACAAATATTCTGTACTAAAACAGAGGGAAGTGTCACTTAATCAGCAGCATTGTGTCCTTCGTTGAAGGTTGTTCTTTTGATTAAAGTCTATTTTGTGTGATACTGTGGGATTTGAAAATATCACAAAATCAGAGTCAAAACCTGACTGATTGCCACTAGGCTAATAGTTCTATTAAAGATGTTTCAGCGTGGAAAACAAAAATGCAAACATTTTTAAGCTTTTTACAATTTTTATGGTGGATTGTTCTTGTGCAGGGAGAATTCAAAGTATCTGAGCGATACATCACCATGAGTGATCTGACAGCTGCCTTGGAAGAAGACAGAGTAAAGGAGATGTTTGGTGCTGGAACAGCTTGCATTGTATGTCCTATCTCTAAAATTTTGTATAAGGGCAAGGTAAGAAAATGTCTCTTTTTTTTTTCCTTCCTTTCTTCTTTCTTCAGAATTTTATTATAATTAATTGCAGCTGAAGCAAAAAACAAGGGAGATAGAAAAGGAGTGTTGCCTGGAAAGATGAACAGTGTTTCCCAAGTGAGTTACTGGTGTGTTGTCAGAAGAGAACTTTCCCTCTTGTTTTCTAGATTTTTTTGTAATAGTTAAAAACATAAAATTTCAATTCCATGGAAAATGAAAAAAAAAACAAACCAAAAATTCCCACCTCCAAGGTTGTTTGCAAATACAGAAAAATACATTCTCCCATGTTTTTTTTATCGAACATTTTTTTCCAAAGCTAAGGCACCTGGGAAAGGTGAGCAGAGGAAAGACTTTGACAGGAAACCTAATTTCTGGGCCACTGCTGTGTTTCTTCCTCAAGCTTATCTCTTCTTCACCCCTCATCTCAGCTCTGATGGAAGAGCTGTTTCAGGAGGGTGCACAACTGCTTCCACCTACTATGGACATATGGGAGATTTCTCCTGCACAGGTGGAACTCCACAGAGATTCAGGCTGTTCAGCTGACTTGATGCTATTTAGCCAGCACAGAGTTAGTTCAGAAGGCTGGGGGTTTGCAGTTGTATATAGGGATGTGCTTTGTTCCATTAAATGTGGTGAGTAGAGTAATTGGCTGTTAGGTGATACTTCTTGAATTAATAAGCTAGAATAAATGTATTGATACTATCTGATGCTAAGAGAATATCAGAGACATCAAGGTGCCAAGTGATAAGTTCTGTAAATGTAAGTGTTGTATTTCTACACGATATATTTTGAAATTAAATACTGCATATAATGTTACTACTCTTGCCTACACAATACTCCCTCTGTTTTGGACAAATCTTTTGGAAGGCTTAGATTAGCCTCCATTTAAAAACAGCATAACAGTTGAACTAATCTAACTTTTCACTGCTTCAGCGTGCCCTCCTATAAAGAAAACCCATTTCAACAACCTTTGGCTACTTGTAAAGAGGGCTAGACAGCATGATAAATATTTATTAAAATTGTTGGCAACCATAAGGCACCCATATGTATGGTTATTATTTCATGTTACTCTCTTTTTCTCTCCCCCCTTTCCTGCTCCTTTATTCCATGTCAGCATTTGCACATTCCAACTATGGAGAATGGGCCTGAGTTAACAACTCGTTTCCTGAATAAGCTGAGTGATATCCAGGTAAAGTGTTTCCTCTTCTATAACCAGATAAAATAATAAAAGGTGAACATTTGAAAGCATTGGAAAATAATCTTTTTGGTAATGGTGCTATAGAAAGCATTATATAATAATATAGACTGTTTCATTTAGTGTGATTATTCTATCAATATTGTTCTCTTTTCTTTGAGAAAATATAATAGGGATGAAGTGTAATAGAGTTTTTCCCTGTTCATCTTGGAAGCTGGATACGAGTTGCAAGATATTACTGTTATCAGTGAAATCTAGTACTATTGTTATAGGTTCCTTTTTAAGGGGAAAAAATAGGATTATGAAGCATCTTAACCATGATCACAAATGAGTACAGTCTAATCAGTAAAGGGATGGGTGAAGCAGCAAACAGTCACTGAATGCAGCCAACTGTTCACTGTTTCTCCTTCTCAGCATCTTTCCAATCACACAGTCACTTCTTGTTCTTAAAACAGTTCCTTTCTCTGTGATTTGCTAAACATCACAGTCTATTTGGAGTCTGTGCTTTATCTCCATGTCTGGGCACAGGAGCCAATACCATTTCAGGTAAAGTCAATGATCAACATGTGATGGCCCTTCTTATTTTAGTTGCCTGTTTTCTCTTCCCTATTTAGTGTAGTTTATGGGGCTCTTGAAGACCACCTACTTGTAGAAGTAGGTCTTAACAAGTTACAAGCCCCTTCATTTAAGATCCAATAGCAGTTGCTTGGCAGTACTGTCAGGATTTCTTCAAATTAAGGCTTATGATTTCCATTCCACATTCTTAGCTTTTGGCTCAGGATGCTAGATTTGCCACTAAATTTTTTAAGTTCTTACCAGTAATTCTGTAATATGTGTCATTCTCCCTTGCCCAATAGATAGTGATTTGCTTAAGACAAATTTATCCATCCTCTTCCCTGAGGTTTCCTCCATTCCCTCCCTAATCACACAATCACAGAACAGATCAGGCTGGAAGGGACCACAGTGGGTCATCTGGTCCAACCTCCCTGCTAAAGCAGGGCCATCCTAGAGGACATTGTACAGAATTGCATCCAGACAGTTCTTGTATTTCTCCAGTGAAGGAGACTCCACAACCTTCCTGGAGAACCTATTCCAGTGCACAGTCACCTCCACAATAAAGAAGTTCTTCCTCATATTTGGGTGGAATTTTCTGTATATTAGTTTCTGCCCATTGCCTCTTGTCTTGTCACTCTGGTTTTCCATCACCAACGAAGGCTCAGGAGGAGGCTGAAAAAGTGTAGATTATTACTAAACATTATTTTTCTTTGACCTTCACAACTGTGCATATGGACCTTTTTGCTTTCAACTGTGTACATACCCTGTGTTCATTAGTTACATGCCAAGACTAAACTCATTACTCCTGGATTATTATGCATATATTTACTTCTGAGTTCTTGTCCCAAGTCCTCCTTGGGCTCATATCCAAATGGACCCCAGGATGTCATGTAGAAAACAGTGCTGCAACAGACAAAATGCAGTATCTAATATTCTTAAAATGTCAGGGGAGTTCTCAGGATCTTTGACCAAGATCTTTTATATTTTCTATCAAGAGGGCTAAAATAAAAGATCTCTTTGCAGTATCACTGGACTATTGTCATATCATTTGGACAGTTTGAGGCTGTTCTTCCAAAGAATTTTCAAGATCTGAAGAATAAATTTCAAAGGAAATTACAGCCAAACACGGCTTTGGTCTCTGTGCTGTTGCCTGAACTAGGGCAACGTATCCATTTCATATTGAACAACAGACATTTGTAAAAAAGTAAAAATTCTCAGCACCACCACTGTCCTGCATGTGAACCGCTGACCAGGAGATGCAGGGCTCCTTATCCAGTATTATTATACCAATTCCCTTGAGTACAATGCATGCTTTTTTAACAGTTTCATACTCTCTTCATTATTGTGTTTCCAAGTCTGTTTTCATGCTGCTTATTGTTCTTTCACAAGTCTGCTGTGTTCAACAGGATTTCTTTGGGTGTGAACAGCTGTTCAGTGGAACTAGAGCTGGAGTGACAAATTAGAAACTCATGGGCAGAACTGATTCCATTTCTCATGCCAGTTGAGAGAGACAGTGGTAGAACTGCAATACGCATTTCCCTTCCCATCACTGAGTAGATATCATGATCACTAAAGGTTGATAAAGACTTCGGATTAAATCAATTACATTGTAAAAAATAATGGTGTGTTTATGAATTAGTCATAGTAAACTGTCTTCTATAATTGCTTGAGTTAGAAGATTTAGGGATGAGATCATTTTCTCTGGGAATATACTCACTGAAATACCACTTGGATGTTTCTGTGGGTTTTCATCCATGCTTTGAGAATAAACAAGCTCTTGCTATACCCTTTAAAACATAGATTAAGATGCAACTTGAAAGGGTTGGACAGTAAATAAGATATGTTCATTATGCTACATGATAGAAAATACATTTAAACACTGCAATCAAGACAGCAGTGAACAGATATTTAGTCAATCCCGTGTCTTTTTCAAAGTTGCAGAATTTAAATGGATAGGCCACTGGAAAACAACCAAAAAGGAGAATGAATGTGTTAAGTTTTACAAAGCAAGACCTGGGGGTGATGGGCAGTGTAAGAGGGATGGGATTGACAAGCCTGAAGTCAAAAAGTCTTTGACAGAATTAGAAAAGGATGCTAAACCTGCTTTTATTTCCAGAATGAAAACATCTTGATTGTGGTATCATATTTCATTTCCTCTTTAGTTCTGGAAGCAGGTGCAAAATGTAGTTAAATGGCAACCCAGACCAGTCCCTGCAACTTCTTGTCAGCATCAGAGCATTACATGATACTACTACCTAAAACCAACAAAATTTACAAATAATCCCCTGGCCTCTGCCTGCTCTCTGGTTTGGAGGACGTGGGGATGCCACCTTTTCCCTGAGAGGCAGTGATATGAAGGTCAAAGACATCTCTTTTTTCTGTCTTTGCCCCCAACAGAATTGCCTCTCATGAAGGTAATTTAGTGTTTTGTGGTTAAACTAACAACACATCTGCTTTGCCTTGGTTATAATTCCCAAGGCAACCACACTGACTACTGGGAATATAAGGTGAAAATCCTTTGAACAAGTGGTTTGTGCAAGGTCCTGTGTAGCACCTGACCAGTGTTAATCAACCACATTGCAGACTGAAGAACAGGAGCAGCAGAATTAGTAATGAAAAGTAGACGTGACACATATGAAGGTCATGCAGAGGCTTTACCTGCTGGATTAAAGAGTAAAATACAAGCACAGTGAACACCACTTCTTTGGGGATCTAGAAGTGTGTTTTTTCTGGCTCATCCTGATTTGGAGCTGTTGTCTTCTCCCTGTCCCTTTATCTCCTCTCCTGACGATGTAGAACCTGGATTGGAGGAGTTCCTTTCATCCACTCTGGATAAATTATCATTGAATGATCTTTTCAGCCTACATAAAGCTTTTAAAATCAATCTTTATTTCTTGTTTGAAAGTGTTTTTAAGCTCCCTGAACTTAGTACTATGAGAGAAAGGACTCCCAACTCATGTCTGCCTCTAGTCTGTCCACCACTGTTTTATTTCCTTAGCTGAGCCCTGTGTGTGTTTTGGGGTCTCTCTGGAGCATTGTTTACAGGACTGGTGACAGAGCTTTAGAACATGCAGCCAGCTTAGCAATTAGAAGTGCTGCCTAATGACTATATCCTTCCCTGGAAGGATACAACTCCACACCATAGGTTGCCTTCATTTCTACCTGGTGATCCTGTTGGTTTGTGTATGGAAAGATGACTTGTTTTATTTTGGATTACAATTCTCTCCAATTGTACTCTCTGATATTTGTGATGCTTTTATTTCACATTCAGTCAGAATGTTATAATAAAAAGCCACCTTGAAAATAAAAAGAAATAAAAAAAACAGTTTGTTTATTGGAGCTTGAACAGGGGCTTACTTAGGAGAGAATTAGTGAGCAGACCTCAGGGAATAACTGGATTAAACTGATGGAAGAGAAGCAGGAGTGTTCTGTATCATCTCTAGTGAGTATCAGTATTGCCCCTTCCTAGTCAGCCTGCTGGAATATGGTTTTAGCTTCAAGCTACTTTTAGGCTGTGCTCAAATCAAAAACAGAAGTAAAGGCATAAGAAATAGTATAAACTACTATCAGAATAGTGAATATGAATCTTTCTGAGGACAGACCTAAGAATGTATCATAACTGTACACTGTTTCTTTTAACTTCTATTCTTAAACTCCATTTTTGCTTTGTTTCAGTATGGAAGAGAAGACAGCGACTGGGCGGTGCTGGTGTCATGAAGGTGGATGAGTTCAGACCCTCCAGATAGAACAGACACAAATAATGACAACTTCTGTAGCTGCCAGTGCGTAGCATAGTTTAAGTATCAATTTGCTCCCCAGGATGATTGTTTCCACAATCCGGCAAATGTGAACACAATCATTTTGATTTCTACTGTAATCTCCTTGGTAGAAGCCTGTCTTCTTGGTAGAGGTGCTAAATGTTAGCAATAGAACTTTCCTAATGGTTTCCTTAGTGCCTCCTTATGTACAGTCTGAAAACTTGTAAAATGCTCTTCAACTGCTCTTCAGTTTGGTTTGTTTAGCTGCCATCACCAGCAGAACACGTCGTGTGACACGAGGACGTCGCCTGTTTGCTGCCTGCAGGGTTCTGTTGGCATTATCCTGCCTTTTGCTCTGTGTTTGGGAAACAAATACATTTAGCCATATGCTCTTTCCTTTCATAGTCTGCTTGTATGGGAGATTCCTGAGTTTGCACAGCCCTCCAGATCCCCTCATGCATACTCTGTGGAATAACTCTGTCCTTTGGGCCAAAACTCTCTAACTCGGTCTAAGCCTGCAATATGGTCCCTGCTGGCCTATTGCCTTTCCCTCTGTGGGGATATGCAGTGGCTGCTCGGGCAGTGCATACCTCTCTAATAGTTGAATACATTCCTCCAGACATGATTTGAAGGGCATGGTCAGGCCCTGCTGAGGCAAAAGTTCCCCTTTGTTAGGCCTAGAACGGAGCTGGGAATTGTGGGCACAGTGTTGCCTTCCAGCAGAATGTCTAGAAAATAAGATTAGACAACTGTGGCTGTGAAAATTCAACCACTCTTCACAGCAACCCAGACTTTGGATTAAGGAATTTCTTTCATCATCCAATCACACAATTTAGACCAGCAAAATGTTTTTCTTGTCCCCTTCACCTCTCACTGTGAAACGTATCCAGTCTCCATTGACATACGTGTACTGTAGAAGGGCCTTCCTATTAAGGAACAAGCAATGTTGTCAACAAGCAAATGTCTAGCACAAGAAGGAAAAAGCTTTCATTCAAAACTCTGATGTCATCCTGTTTAAGCACATCATTCCCCATTTAACGCTGCTGTCTCACATGCAGTCTTGATACTTTGGAAGCAATACAGAGCATGTAGCCCCTAGTTAGGGAAATAACTTCTGCAAATGTTCACTAACAATCATTCTGTAATATTTATTAGCTTTCTCCTTTTGCACACAGCTTTGTTGAACAGCTTTAAGATCTCTCTTGCCAAAAAGGATCACCATGTTCTGTATCAATGTTCCAAAGTGCTACTTCAGTGTAAAACTGGTGGAACTTTATTGACACTTTATTGGAGTCCTATAAGAAGCAAAAGTGAAACATTTCTTGTCCTAGTTTGCAGTAGAGATGCTCAAGTATTAAGGGAAACATTTAGCACTTTATTTTTTTAAGAACCAACAGTATCTCTCCCATGATTTGTAAGTCCATTGTAGTTACTGGTATTTGTTAACATAGTTTAAAAAGGCAAAATATAATTTATAATAGACCATCCATGCCTTATGCAACTGTTAAAGAATAGCCTTATGGCTTTCCTGTTCATTTTTGGTCTGGTTTTAAAGACAGCCCTTCCTTAGCCATTTCTTTCTTTTGCTCCCTCAAATCATGACTTTTCCTACCTTTCACTGCGGTCCGATCTGATCTTTCAATGAAGAACAGTTGAAGGTTCTCTCTGACACTGTAATCATTGTTAAAATTTGTTGAATAGTTTTTTCTTTAGACAACAACTGTAAGCACAAAATGGTGTTTCACTTACAGTAGCAATAGTGTTGTGTGACTGTATTTCTGACCATTTGAATCTGTACCATGTGCTGGTCTTCGTTCAGTATCTTACTGTGTACTACAAGCTGCTGGTAGTCTTTCCTTTTTTTTTAATTACATGGCTGGAAAAATTACATGAGGAATGTGTCAAGATGCAACATGGGGTAGTAAGTTTTATCTGATGAGACCAGTATCGTAACAAAAGAGTGCCTTTAACTAGAGCGTGGCATGGAGCTCTCTACAAGATTATGTAATGAGAAACCACATGTGGCTTCCTTTTAACTGAACTATCTAATCTGTCCCTTATGTTCATCTTAGATTTAGCAGCAAAAGGAAAAGTGAAAATATCTGTCTTCAGTGGTTGTACAATACTTTAACATCTCAAGGGGAAGTTAGGGTTGACAGATACTGTCTACCAAAAATCCCCGTGAAGGCCTCAGTGTACCAGCAGTAATCTATTCAGTAGGCAGAATGAATAAGGACCAGACAGAAGAATTATTTTACTGCAGTGTAAACCTGAAAGTTGTATAAACCTCTTCTTAAACTCTTTGCAAGTAATTTAATGTGAAGAAACCAGGCGGTTTCATTTGTTGTGGTTTGCACACTTTCTTGCACTGACCAGGGAGACACCTTTCCTTTCACTACACATTTTGAGCTGATGGAGACTTCAAAATTATGAGAATTGAAACTGGAATGACCCATAGAAATGCATGGTCTTTTCTTGCAGGGAAGAAAAAAACATGTAGTGTGTGTATGTTAACTGTTGTCTTGAAGACCTTGGTTAATTGCTTTACTCTGGCTGTGTCAACTCAAAGTTGTGCTTGTTTCCAAATGGCATCCAGGGGAATAGGTTCTAGATTTTAAAATGTAAAACCTAAATCAGGGAGCTGACAGCTCAGTATAGTACAGGAAATTCTTCTGGTGTTGCATGCTGTCCTACTCTGAATTCTGCCACTGCTTTTTTATCCCGTTATCCAAAGGAAAGAAAAAATATGTGTAAGTAATAGAGAGTATTTGGTACTGCATTCTCCCTGGTTTTGCTTGTAAAATTTAGGAGGGAACTGTGGTATTCCCTGAGCTAATAATAGATTGTAAAAGAACATCTGCACATCTTTTCTCCATGTGCCCTATTTGTTTAATTGCAACAGATTTACATAGAAAGAGTATGGTACATCATAACTAGGTAATTATCCATTCTTCATCACTTAGTTATGGTTCTGGTAATTGATCATTTAAGACATAAGATAGTCTAACATTAGGAGAATTTGAGACTGTTCAAAAAAGATCAACAAATTAATATTGTTGTGTGATATTTGCATAATTGGCTGCAATTATTTAATGTTTAATTGGGTTGATCAAATGAGATTCAGCCTTTCACATGCTTATGTTTTACAAACACTGGTACTTTAAAAGGATAATAATGAATTCTAATTTTCATATGTTCTTTCTTCTTCCCTTCATTCTTTTGATTATTATTTTCAGTATTGAGCATGTCCTTAATTTTCAGTTTGGTGAGCATGATTCATGCATAAGAAAGAAGTCTGTCAAATAAGAGAATTTTCAGGAAACTGGCATGTCATACGAGCTGTTCTGGTGCCAAGAGTTATGGCTTCAGCAACTGGTATTACCTAACTAGATTCTTAACTGGAATGAGGGCAAATTCACTGAGAATTTACAGTGACAGACCCAGGTGGGAATGTTAATAAAGGTTCCTAGACTAGAAAATCTGTTCAGTCCATAGCAGTTCAAAGCAAACATGGTTTTTCTGGGATATAGAAGGGAAGTCTGGTAAGACAAAAGGAAGGTAGTGAGATACCTCTGCTCAGCCATTGTTTACACCTGTTCAAATGTCTCAAGCCAAAAAGCAGTTGTCCTCCACTCCTCCTCTTTGTACATAAACTCTTCTTTGGGTTTGCCAAATTCAACGTAGAGATACCATACACTCTGTACACTTATTTTATACTTTTTTATCCTCAGGCGTGAAGACTGTTAATTTGGAAAAATGTGATTTTTGAAATTAATTTGGAATGGAAGTTATTTGAAATGTCTGTCTAATACATGGTATTCCAAGGAGTTAGACAGAAAAACAGCTGGGACTGATTTCACAGCTGCCTAATTAGAGGAGGAACCCTCTTGAATTCATTGGCCTCTCCTCTCCAGAACAATCTGTATAATCTCAACAGATTTCATAGTGCGAACTGTCTGTTGGTAGTGCCTTGCTATGGAGTAGAATAAAAGAGGTGGTAGCACAGCCTGCCAGACCATGGCACGTTGCCTGGGATCCACTCTGGTGGGTTTTCATGTTCTCGTGTCAGGCTTGTACCCTGAGAGGTGGGCAGGTGTAAATGGTGGCTGAGCGTGTCCCGGGGTGGGCTCTTCCTTGCTGTCTTTCTCTCCCTTCCACGTGGACTTGCAACCCCTTTTCCCCAATCTTCTGTCATCATGCCACTGAGTCTCATACCTAAAAGTGACCATCTGCATTCTTTTTCTTTTAGCAATTATGGCAGTTAAAAAAAAAAGGGAAAAAAAGGCGTTTTGTTCGTATTCCAGGTGTTGAGGGATCAGAATTGTGCTTTACCACCCATATAATGCCTGAACAGACTGCTACTGACTTTGCGACCCTGGACAAGTTATCTAACCTCTTTGTAAGTGTAGAGTAGTAGTACTACCAGTGGTTTTGCTTTTAAATCTAATCCAAACATTTGCATAAAAAGTTATTTTATTACAGATCAAATAAGCTTTCCAGACAAAGTTTTTTAAGCAGTGAGAGAGATGCCATGTAGAGTCCAGTATTTCAAGGACTACTTTAGATTAGAACCATTTTGATCATGGAGGAGAAAAATGTTATCTGAATTAGAAACACATTAAAGATTTGCTGCATGAACCCATAAATGAGTAAGAGGTGTAGTTCAGAATACAAAGTAGCATATAGAAAGATCCTGACAAGAAAATTCACCTCAAACAGGGCTATCCTATTTAAAAATGATGCTTGAAGGAAGGATTATACCCCTCAGTGTAAAGTCATTAGCATGAGACCGTTTTAGAGGTGCACTTAGTCAAGTAGCACCAAGAGACCTCTTTGTCAGTCTTGACAACAGATTTTCTGAACAGCAATTTGGAAGTGTGGAAGAACTGTGTTTTACTGTATTTTGTCACTATTCTCAAGATTTGGAAAAACAATTCACAGGTCCTAAATCATTCAAGCTAAGTAACTTCTTAATAGGTATTTGTATTTTTAGCCATAAGAGCAGCAGAATTGCACTGTTGAAAAATACTTTTGTAGCAGTCCTCCTGTCCAGGCCTTGCTTTGAGCATGATGCTTTGTAGGAATTCCAGGATATTTTCCCTGACTGTGCAAAATCTGAGTGCCATCTACAGCACACTTGGCAAATATATCCCCAGCTCCATAAACAAAACTAGCTTGGTCATTACCTTGAGGTAGAACAATCAGGTTACATTAGGATTTAGCAGGTTAGGAACAATATTGAACCAGAACAGTCAAGTATTAGATCTGGAATAAAGTTTTGGAATTACTAGCTCAGATAAAATTCTCATTAATCACACTAGCAAGGTTAACCACACCCCAATATACTAAAAATAATATTATTATGTTCACTAGTAATAACAGCATGGCCATATTCTCATCCCTCTCTCTGAACATGAATTTATACTGTTTGCTTATCTTGAAAGTTAATTTATTGTATCTGATTTTTGCCACAATGCTGAATTTTCATGCCATGGTTTAAAAAAAGACTCTTAAATTTCATGTTCATAGAAAGATCTTAATGAGGATTTAAGACCTTGATGTAGAATTTTTAAGTCTTTAAAATGCCTGCTGGGTAATGTTAAGGTAGAAACAGAGAAGACAACTTTGTGGAAGTATTTAACTACAGTGTTCAAAGTGGTTTTACAACACTGGTCATTTTTGGTTTTTACCAAAGAGGTATGCAGGGAACAATAGGTAAAATAAGTGTATTGCTTGTTTTTCTAAGCAAGAGTTGGGAAAGTTTCTTAAGAGCTGGTTCTCTTAATAACACTGATTCTTTATAGTTTTTGATTCTGTCAGGCTTAGAGCAGTCATTTCAGGGTGAGATGCAGGAGCTCAGAAGCTATCTCAGGAGGTACTGTTGGGCAGAAACAGAATTTCTTTCCTTTTATGATCAAAGTGATCGAAAGATGAACATGGAATCTTTGAAATTTTGCACCTTTTTATAAAAACTTTGCTTTTCATTTTAGAAGTCTTATACAGTGTTGCTGAACTATTATCTTACACTATCATATCTCAGTACCTAATAGGAAGAAAGCAAGCATTCTTATTCTTTATGTAATCACCTTCTTTCTGTATGCCAAATTCCCTCTTCACAATGATTTGGTTGCCACTAGAATCGTGACCACTTCAGGTGAAACAACAGGGTTTTTTTCTCTACTGCACCCTACTAGTGCACTCCTCTGGGGCTTTAGTAAACAGTAAGTGCTTGCAGCAAATGCCAGAACAAAAGGTAAAGTGAAAAGTCTTCTGTTTCCACAACAGGTGTGCCAGGAGTGAGAGTAAAAATAGTCAGTGAACGCCGGAGGCCAGAAGAACGTCATTACCATTCTTGTTCAGTCCAGTCTTGTTTGCCCAGGTATACCAAAAATCTAGCAGGATAGTAGATGCTCTTACTCAGTTGCTTAAATACCTACATCTGTGCCTACATTTTCATAACTTGGGCCCTCACATCTCAACTGAAACCTGCAAACACACTTTTATATGTAATAAAACAGTAAAACATTAGGTCAAAACAAACACGTAATGCTCCGGATCGTCTAACAGGTCAGTGGCCTATTCTCTTCCCATAATTCGTATTAATTTTCTAAATAATTGTTGACTAGAACTGCAAGTAGGAGATAAATGCAGGAGTTAACACTATTTCATAGTTGAGGACCTTGACAAAGAGCGGATCTATTCCCTCTGTCTCCAGGGAGAGGGCTTGGCCACTAAGTAGAGAGTGACAGAACGAAAATAGTTCTTTGCCATAATGGAGACCAGTAAGAGTTTTTTTTCTGAAGCTATTTACAAACAATTTCTGTCGAGGCAGAAATTTGGAAAGACAGATGTCCTGATCTACTTGACCTTTGAGGCATTTAGAAGGGTGCAGTAGTAGTTATCGAAGTTGTAGCATATAAGCAGTGGGAAATTAGCAACTTACAAAGGGAGAAGTAAACACCTCTGAAGGGTCTCTGTTTCCTCCAATGTTAAAAGTTAAGTGGGTATTTTACAAGGATCTGAAGCATATAAAAGCAGTAAAGGACAGATGTGCGAAAAAGTACTGGATAAACTAAAGGAAACTCTACCTCATTCTCCTCTAAAGGTTTTGTAGAAGCACAATTAAGCGCTCCTAATGGCATTGTTACGTACCGACCATCTGGCATGAGAGAAGCACTATATTTGTATGTCTATAAATCCTGTAATAACTGTATTTTGCTGGCAGTAGAATCAGTCTATACTATTTGCAGTTTTCCTCATCAAATCTGTAATTATGCAATGTTTCTGTCTCCAATAAAGGAATATAATGGGCACCTGTTTGTGACGTTATGAAATCATCACTCTTGACAACAGCTAAGCATTATTATCCCATAGATGGGAGCATCTATGAAACACATGCTTGAAGGCTGGATTAAAAGAAAAAGAGTTTCTGAATGAAGTGGGGCATGTAAGAACAGCAAAGCAAGACTCAAGTGGCAGACATGCACCTATCCTGCCAAGCCTGGAGGCTGAGCCAGTTGTCTCACTTACAGTAAAATGCTGGACAAATTAAGCAGCAAAACCACCTACCTGCTAACCATGTTGTCATGAAGCAGTTTTTAATATGGTAGGACTGTGTTGCTGTGACTGAATACAGCTCCCATTCTAAGGGTTTGGGGGCGATGAACTCAGGGGAGAGAAGAACACCAGAAAACAGCTTTATATTTTGAGCACTTACTTTACAGGGCAATTTTAAACAGTCATTACTCTAAAATACGTCAACCAATGGGAAGCCCTTTGAAGATGGAAAGCACTGAAAAGTGTCATTAAAATCCTGACGTTTGCCATGTGTGGTGGTTGTGTTTACCAAAAATCTTGACGTATTCCTGCTTTTCAGTGCAGGCAATACTGTGATTAAAGGTAGTACTGATCCATGCTGTGGTAAAGTAAACATCAGGGTACATTTTCCACCTGGTTTGGTTCTCAGTGACCAGGAAAGCTGGCATGGATACAGCACACTTTAAAGAAGCTGTAGATAGGTAAGTACTAAGTTATTAATTACTGCTGGGAGAATGAACCCAATATGTCAGAATCAGGCTTTATTCCTGTGTTTTGGCCTCTCCACTTTCATCCTAAGGGAACCTTTCTTAACTGTAATTCTAGCTTGAGTTCCAGCTTTTAAAACTCACTAGTAATAAAAAACTGAGGACTTATCCTACAAGGTGCTGAGTGGGTTTCAGAGACAGACCTGTGCCTTTTAGCTAAATTTAAAAAGACCTCTTTTTTCTTTTTTTCATTTGAAACATCTCAGTAGCTGGCAGTAGCTCTGCCCAAGAAAGCACTTGGATTATCACCACCAGCACTGTGCTCTTGGGGATGGAGAGTACCAATTTTCAGGGCTCTGATCTGGGATACAAACTCTTGTGAAGATGTGACAAAAAAAGTCAGTTTTAAAAGAATATAAGAGGAGGACAAAGTAGAAGGAAAATAACCGGCATTGTGCACATATAAACAGGGCAAGGAAACAAACGTTGGGGATTCCAACATAGGCAGTCAATATTAGAATTAAAAATGCCAGTTTTGAGGGCATATTAACTGAAGTGTTGAGTATCAGTTTTTCTTCTTCATTTATTTTTGCTGTGTTCTGATATTGTGGCATCATAGTGGTGATTTTAACAGCTGTTAAAGAATTGCCTTGTTGCCAAAAGGAGCAAAATTTTCTGTAGTGGCACCTTTGTTCTTGATGCTTCACCAGTGACGAACTTGCAAAAGAAGATACAACAATGTAGAAATAGTCTACTTCTCTCTCTCCCGAGGGAATGATTTCTATTGCCAGCTAAGAGAATGTTTGTCCTGCTTCACCTCCAGGTGATGTTATATTGTATCTGTACAAATTTGGGATATTAAATTCTGAGCCTTGCCAATACCAGGTTATGTAACAAGACAAATCAGTTCATCTTAACTCACGTCAGTTCTTGTGGGTCATTCAAAGAAACTATGTTTTGAAATTATTTCAGAACGACCACTGTTTTATACATTTTTTTTCCCTCCATTTCGTGCAAGACATAATTCTTTTAGAATTCTGAGTAGACCAGCTGTCTTCAGCACACAGCTTGTATTCAAGGAACCCTTGGAGTCTGCCTAAAGGCAGATGTAGGCAAAGCCCTGGTCTAGACAGGGCCTGTGAAGCTGAAGCCGTGGCCTGAAACAGAAATTTTGTGCTTCACAGGATTGTTATGTGTGAGGGAGGTGATTTTATACCTGTCCTTTATAAATGTTCAAATTAAATATGTTCTAGGAGGCTACCACTACCAGAAACACCATCACCTGATGAAATCCATCTGGTGTGCCACCCCTAGACTGAAAGTAAAGGCTGTGATTTACTTGCCATTTAGGTGAAGTTTACATAGATGATCACCAAGCAGAGACAGTGGAAACTTCAAATTCAACTGGTATTAGCTCAGATCCTAACTTCAGATGACTTTTATGCTCTGAGTATGATGAAGAAAACACCTCCACTCTTCTTACTTCCAGCTGCTCTATCACTGACCTCCCCTTTGTGGCACTTCTGGCACTAGAGCAGTTGCAGAGTAACCAGATCACCACTTGACCACAGGAAGCCAAAAGCATATGCCCAGGAAGAGCAGGACTGCTCTCTTACCCTCAGAAGGATTTCTAAGGAGCTGAAGCCAGTTAAGAAGTCACGCCTGTGTGAAATGTCAGGGTTTGAAAGTCTCCCGGGTGCTACCACACTTATTACGGCTCTTAAACTTTTATGCAGCAGACCTCTATTAAGTCATTGCTGAATTCTGGGTTCATTTTTATTTTTACCTTCCTTTAGCTCATACAAACCTCGTGCCTGAGCAAAACGTGTCATATCTGCTTTACTGTGAAGTCCCAGGTTGGAAAAGAAAGGAACTTCTAAAGATTTTCTATCTTCATCACGAGAGCATGGCTGAAAACTAATTAAAACCAAGTTAGTGAAAAATACTCCCATCTTTTTTGGAAATCTTCGTGCTTTCAAAT